GTCCTTTGTAATGATTTACCATTAGCATTAGTTGGATATGGGTTTATGATTTCCAAGCCAAAGGTAAGATCTTAGGAATGAGAATGAAATGAAGAGGAGGGCAGATGGGCAGGCAAACAGGCAGTCCACAGAAGAACCAGGGCCCTTCAGTCTCCTGCTGTTCTACTGGGAGTGGGGTCCTGCTGGGCACAGTCCCCTGGGCACCTCCTGCTGGTTGATTCCGAGGAGGAGACAAGTTGTCTGGTGACAGTCAGAATGGAGGGCTTTCAGGATCTTATAGGCAAGAACAAGTTCCCGACAGCTGCTACCTAACCCTAAGTCTACCTACATTTTCTACCAGGCACAGAAACTTCTCACCTAGTCAGTTTCTGGTCACGGCCAAAATGAGGTCACAATTCTAGGTTTACATCATCAGAGTAACTCTACAAACCTTTAAAAACAACTGATACTTCACCAGTATAACATCACAGCAGGTTAAATACACCAAATGGAGCTGGGTATTTAATATTAGAGTGCCTAGAATTTCAGCACTCTGGGAGGCTGAGGCAGGAAGATCACAAGTTTGAGCCCAGCCTGGGCAACTTAGTCTACTTAGTGAGACTGCCTCCAAAAAAAAAAGGCTGCAGATGTAGCTCAGTACAAAGACCCTAGGTTCAATCCCTTGTGCTGCCAAAAACAAACAACTCCCTATCAAACTGAACTAGGGATGTAACTCAGTAGTAGAGTGCTTGTCTGGCATGTGTAAGACCCTGGGTTTGATCCCTGGCACAAATACACACAGATATCCTCCGAATCGGTCCCAACTTGTTTTATGTTTTGAAATGTGACACAGCTGAAATATGTACTCCATGGTGAGGGCTTTACCACCCATATATACAACTTTACTGATTAAGTGATTTTCAGAGATAGCGAACCCAAGACCTCATGCATGCCAGGCAAGCACTTTACTACTAAACTATACCCCTAGTTCAATTTATATTTATTAACTGGCTTATTAAAACATTAGGCATAAGGGCCAGGGATTTAGCTCAGTGGTTTCGCCGCCTGCTGCGCAAACTCAAGGACCCGAGTTCGATCCCTGGTACCAAACAAACAAACAAAAACATTAGGCATAAGTTAAGATAGTAGTATGCAGTGGGAGGATAAATTAAAACATATTAAGGTCCTTGCCTTCAGTGAGGTCAAATTCTTTTTTTTTTTGGTACCGGGGATCGAACTCGGGTCGTTGTGCTTGCGCAACAGGCAGCTGAAACCACTGAGCTAAATCCCCGGCTCCCTTTTTTTTCTTTTTTGACACAGGATCTCACTGTGTAGCCCAGGCTGGCCTCAAACTCACAGCAATCTTCCTGCCTCAGCCCCCCGAGTGCTAGGATTACAGGCATGTGCCACCATGCCCAGCTCAAATTCTAACAGGGAAGAGAAACCATACCCACGAAGAGGTAGAAAACAAAGCAAGATGGGATGAGGAAGATACACTCATGGAATATAAAAGCTGGGAAAAACTTCAGTAACAATGCTTCTGTCCAGATTTTTTGGACAGCTATAGGCCCTTAGTACACAATCTCCACATTTCCAATCCCTAACTGCATACACAAACAACACAAGAATCCAGAGTTTTGCTTGTTTTGCAGTACTGCGGATGCAGCTCAAGGTTTTGCCCATGCTGGGCAAGCTCCCTATCACTGAACTACACACCCTGAGCTACACACCCTGAGTTACACACACTGCTCAGGAGACCAGAGTTCCTACCTAGACCTGACATTATTGATTTTTATACTGAAGTTCACACTGAACACTCCAGGAGGAAGGAACAAGACTACGAGGATGAAGGCAGCAAGGCACATGACACAGTCAGGAGTACTGAGCTGCCAATTTGCCAGGGCACAGGATATTCTGGAGGAAGAATGTGTGGCATAAAAAAGAAAGGTTGATCCAGGCCAGAACTTAACAACTCTGGAGGCCAGCATGGTGGTGCAAGTCAGTAACCCCAGCACTTTGGAGGCTAAAGGAGGGGCAGCCTAGACAACATAGCGAGATCCTGTCTCAAAAAACAAAAGAAAACAAGACTGTGGGGGTTGGGATGTAGCTCAGTAGTAGAATATGTGTGAGGGCACAGAATTGATCCCTAGAACTACAAAAAAAAAAAAAAAGAAGTAAAAGAAAAAGTTTAGATCCTGCTCCGGTGGCAATATTCAGCTGGGGTAAGATTTAACAAGCTATAGGTAGACAGATAGAAACAAAAATTTTTTTTCTGAGCCGGCGTCTCACTACATAGTTCAAGCAGGCTTGAACTCATGGTGATACTCCTGCCTCAGTCTCCTGAGTATGGAATTACAGGCATGCACCTGTATTTCTAAACATTTCTAAACATACAAAACAAAACAAGTCGGACATGAGAGCGAACACCTATAATACCAGCCCAGCACTCTAGGAAGCTGAAGCAAGGAAGATCACAAGTTCAAGCCCAGCCTGGGCAACTTAGTGAGACCCTCTGTCAAAATGAAAAATAAAAAGGGGTGGGGATCTACCTCAGTACAAGGCTCTGAATTCAGTATCCAGTACTGCAAAACCAAACCAAATCAAACCAAAATAAAAATGAGACCACAAGGAACTGGCAATTGCTAGTTAAAAGGAATCTCTTACTTCCTTAGGTTCAGATATTGGAAAGTATTCAATCCTTGTATTTCTAAAATATGCCACCTAATATCTGCATACCCACTGTTGGCTTGTGCTAGGCAAACCCTTTACATGAATTATCACCTTAAGCTCCACAAAAGAGGGTCTAGAGTGTGTTATTCACCCCTGTATTCCTAGCACCCAACACACTGTCTAGAATTTGAGAACCAGTCCAAAAGGATTTGATGATTAAGTCCTCACAACGACTCTATGAGGTAGATATTACCATTATCTTCACTTCATAGATGAGGAAATTAAATTTCTAAGAAGGGCAGAAACATTCCCAAGAACACACAGAACTACAGAGAAAGACTAAAATGCAGGGGATTTTTTTGAGGTAGGGTCTCCCTTTGTAGTTCAAGCTGGCCCTGAACTCACTATGTAGCCCAGGCTGGCCTTGAACTCTCAGCAATCCTCCTCCCTCAGCCTCCCGTGCTGGGATTACAGGCGTGCATCACCACGCCTGACAAATGCAGGTTTTTATACACAGTCTAGTGACCTTTTCACACAATAATGCTTTTAGGACAGAAATGCCTTAGTCACATCTCTCCTCCCCTCAAAATCATTTCAAGGCTTCCCATTGCCTACAGAAGAAAATCTAAACATCTTAGGGGTTAGAAATGAAGACACTCTAGTCTCTTTTCTGAAACTGCTCTGCAAAGTATCCTGAGCCTTCCACTGCCTGTAGCCAGCTTTTTTCACAGGATCTTATGTGTAACATCTCATTGTTTCACCTAAACCTTCACACTCCACCCAGCCCTCCACTGCTGAAGCTGCTCTAGCTCTACTCACCTATGTCATTCATTACAAGTTCCCTTATTATTTGGTGTTTCAGAAACACAGTTTTTTGTTTATTGCTATGTTGCCCAGGCTGGCCTCTTGCGCTTGCTCTCCCCCTGCTTCAGCCTCCCAAGTGGTGCAATCACAGGTGTGTGCCACCACATCCAGTCTCAGAAACATACTTTGGTCTCCTCAAATGGGTTATGGATTTTACTACTCAAACTGATACCAAAAGCTTAGGTGAATGAGTAGTTTTAGGATTCTGTGAGTTTGCTTTCTACAAACACACCAGAACCTATTGATTACTTCAATTTAGAACACGCCTGACTAAATAAAATCCTAATATATGCAAAGAGGATTATTTATGACTGGGAAGGACAGCACAGCATCAGAAACTAGGTTCCTACTGGTTCCATTTCCACACAGATCCTTTGTACACAAAGATGGCAACCGTGGTAGAAGTTTTTCCCTCCTTAGTACTGAGGGTTGAGCACAGGAGCTTGCGCATACTAGGTAAGTCCTCTACCACGGAGCTACACCCCCAGCTCTTTTTTTTTATTATTATGAAACAGAGCGTTGGTAAGTTGCCCAGGTCAGCCTCAAACTTGTGATCCTCCTACTCAGTCTCCCAAGTAGCTGGGGTTAGAGGTGCGCCCCACCACACCCGCTGACAGCAGGTTTTCATAGAACCTACCTCTTTGCCCTTTGTGGCATCTCCTTCTGTCCATTCCACAGAAACACAGGATCTCTCCAAGTTTACAGTTCTTACACTGGCGCAGTGAATTAAGCCTATAAAAAGACTAGAGTTACCTATGCCCTGAGAGCTTCATGTTTAGGATTCACTTCACTTTTAGGATCTCACAGAAACTCTCAGTGTGAAGTGTACCTAGGAAGGGGCAGCTGATTTTTTTCTTTCTTTAAAACAAGCAGACACTAAGACAAAGTCTTAAAATCGAGCCACACAGGATAAAGTTTCACACACACACACCCTACACCCATTCAAATGAGTACCTGCAGTGGGGCGCAGTTATGTTTGAGCAGGGGAGTCGCTACAGAAGGATAGATGTTCCTGAACTCGCCACTGAGGATCTGGACCCCTTGAATTTCCCTAACTCACTTCTGGAGGTCATGTTTGGCCATTCTCCTAATGACATGAGTGTTAGGCCTGCCAAGCTGCAAGGGTACTCAGGGCCCGGCCGTTTGGAAGCGGGACAGTAATCTCAGCCTCTCACCGCTGAAGGGTCCCCCTGGCCTTAGGATGCCGTCCCTCACCATTACTGCGTTGGATCTTGATGGAGAGACCAGGAAACAAGCGAGCCTGAAGTGATGACTCCATGGGCACTCACAGGTCCTCGAGGAAGAAAAATACAAAAATACAAAATGCTAACAAACCACAGCTCTGCTAACCCTGAGAAGCCCTAACGCCGAGTAAACCGTCGTAGTTTAAATCCCGCGCGTCAGCGTTCCTATAACGTCATCACGCTGCCGTGGGTTTCGCTTCCGCCAGTCAGCGAAGCCCTGCGGAGCCTTCTGGGATACGTAGTCTCTGGGTAGTCCTTCGCCTTTGGGAACGCCCACTATCTGGCCACAACCCCAACCCTGTGCCTGCTGGGAATTTCGCCTGACTGGAGAGGTTTGTGAGTGGGGAAGTTAGAGACTGTACTAGACCCGCCCGCTGTTGTTGGCTTTCTTTTTTTTGTTTGTTTTTTTGGTACCGGGGATCGAACTCGGGTCTTTGAGCTTACGTAGCAGGCGGCGAAACCACTGAGCTAAATCCTCGGCCCTTGGTTTCCTTTTTTGCACAATAGGAGAGCATGTTTCCTCACTGGAGGAGTTATATAGAAAGTATTTCAGGGCCGGGCACGGTGGCGCAGGCCTGTAGTTCCAGCACACGGGAGGCAGAGGCAGGGCGATCGTCGCGAGTCCAGCGAGTTCTGGGCCAGCCTGGGCTACGTAGTGAGTTTAAGGCCAGCCTGAACATAGCGAGACCCTGTCGCAAAAAAAAAACAAAACCAAAAACCCCCAACTTTCTAAGACATTGATTCAACAGATTTTTGTCTACCACGTGCAATACATGGTATAGGTTGGAAGTAGTAGTGAATAAGCCATGGTTCCTGTCCTTGATCTGACATTTCTGATATGAATATGGGATAAAAAGTATGTTACAAGGGCCAGGGATTAGCTCAGTGGTTCCGCCGCCTGCCTCGCAAACGCAAGGACCCGAGTTCGATCCCCGGTACCCAAAAAAACCCCCAAGAAACAAAAAACCAAGAAATAGGAAGTATGTTACAAGTGTTGGGTGTGGTAGCACTCGGGAGACTGAGCCAGGAACCTGTCGAGTTTGAGGCCAGCCTGGCTACATAGTGAGTTCCCGGCCAGCTGGAACTATATAGAAAGACCTTGTCTCAATCAGTCAAAAATTAAATAAGAAAATGAAAATTATCCTTTGAATTTGCCAGCACCTGAGTCTGGTGACCTTCAGCAGTCTTGGTGAAGTGTTGAAGGCAAGAGCCAGACAAGAGAGGGAAGAGTAGGTGGAGTATTGTTCAGGGACGTGCGCTTGTGTAGTAAAGAATGTGTGGAAATGAGGAGCACTGAGACTCAGGGCATGGTTGGCCTCTGATAAGGAGGGTAATGTGATTGGAGGGTATTTTGGCTCAATAGGTATTTATTTATTTTTGGCACTGGGGACTGAATCTTGGGACTCTTACCTGCTAAGCACACACTCTACTACTGAGCTACACTCCCAGTGCTGACATTTTATTTTTGTGGTCTTGAGGACCAAACCCAGGGCCTCATGCATGCTAGGGACGTGCTCTACCAGTGAGCTACCTCCCTAGCCCCCAAACCAAAGTCTTCTGTTCAACTCCTTGAAACACCTGTTCTATTTTATGGAATGACATGCTTTCCTATTGGCGGGGGGGGTCTCTGTGTGTAGTCCAGGCTGGTCTTGATCTTGAGCTCACTATGTATTCAGGCTGGCCTCAAACTCATGGCAGTTCTTCTGCCTCAGCCTCCTGAGTGCTGCAATTTCTTTTTATGTATGTATGTATGTATTTATTTTTTGAGACAGGGCCTTGCTGTGTAGTTCAGGCTGACCTGGGCTCACTATATAGCCCAGGCTGGCCTCAAACTCACAGTGATCTTTCTGCCTCAACCTCTCGAGTGCTGGGATTACAGGCATCCACCACCATGCCTGGTTTGATTTTTTTTATTTTTTATGATAGGCTCTTGCTAATGTTACTGAGGCTGGCCTTGAAGGCCTGGGCTCAATCAGTCCTCCTGCCTCAGCCTCCTGAATACCTGGGACTATAGCTGCATGCCACCCCATCTTGCTTACAAGTGACGTATTTACTCTTTTGTGGTGTTGAGGATCAAACCCAGGGTCTCACATGCCTAGGTGGCTGCTTCACCATGGAGCTACATCCTCAGCCACAATTGATACTGGTTTCCTGCCTTAGCCTCCCAGTTGCTAGGATTACAGGTATGTCGCCATACCAGGCATCTGGACAGAGTTTTACTTTTTAGTTTTATTTATTTTTTGGTACTGGGAATTGAACTCAAAGCCTTGTGCTTGCCAGGCAGATGCTGAGCCACTGAGGTATTTCCCCACCTTCTACTTTTTATTTTTAAAAAATTAGTAGTAGTAGATGTTTGCAGTGCATAATGATTACATTCCTGATGGGGAGTTGGTACATGCACATAACACATCTAATTTCCCCTTCTTTTCCCCTCCCTCCTCTACAGAGCTTTAAATAAGCATAATAAATATCTTAAAAAGACAAAGAAGGGCTGGTGATGTAGCTAGTGGCGCTGTGCCTGCCTGGCAAGGAGAAGGTCCTGAGTTTGATCCCCAGTACCAGAAAAAAAAAAAATTAAAAAGATAAAGAAGGATAGTGTTAGGTAGATATGGAGGCATATGCTTTTTAAAATATTTATTTATTTATTTATTTATTTATTTATTTTTGGTACCAGGGATCGAACTCAGGTCCTTGCACTTGCGCAGCAGGGGATGAAACCACTGAGCTAAATCCCCAGCCCCACATGCTTTTAATCTCAGCACTTTGGGAGGGTAAGGCAGGAGGACCCCAAGTTCAAGCCCAGCCTGGGCAGCTCTGATTTAGTGAGACTCTGTCTCAAAATAAAAATTTTAAAAAGTGCTGGGGATGTAACTAAGTGCAAAAGCCATGGGTTCAGTCTCTAGTATTGCAAAAGAAGGGGGGTGGTGATATAGTTACTGGTAGAATGCTCCTGGGTTCGAGCCCCAGTAACACAATTAAAAACATTTTTCTAAAAAAGGAAAGATAGTTAACATAAGGTAGGAACAAGCAAGGAATAATAATTGGGAATACTAAGTTGAAAATTTGTAATAGTTGAAATCCATACATGAATTGAATAGCAGAATGGTTACAGCCCAAATGTGATGGTGAGCAATGAGATCAGGGTGAGATTCATCCAGAGGGCATCAGGAAGGAATAAAAACAAGGAAGACTGAAAACAAATGATCCAATTGTGACATACATGGTTGGTGGCTAACCCAGCAGCCATTCCCTACTCCTCCTTCCTCATTCATCTCCAAATTAGCTATGGAAGAAAATTTAATACTTGCTTTCCCAGAATCCCATGGAATCAGAGCTGGCCACATGATACTGTTTTGGGGCAATGAGAATTAAGCAAAGCACAGAGTTCTGGGAGACTGTGGGCAAGAAATTTTCTTTTTTGTTTTAGACGGGGTCTCAAGCTGGGCTCAAACTCGAAATCCTACTGCCCTGGCTCCCCACTGCTTGGGATGACAGACGAATGCCACCACACCTGGCAAAAAGGTTGTTTCTTTTCTTTTTCTTTTTTTTTGGTACTGGGGATTGAACTTGGGACCTTGCACTTGTGAGGCAGGTGGCAGAACCACTGAGCTAAATCCCCGGCCCAAGAGGTTGTATCTTAACGGAAGGGAATGGCATGAAGGAGGCTTTGCTTATGTCATCCTTTTTTCTTGTCTTGGACATAGATGTTCTTTCTGTAGTTGTGACACTTTGTGATCACGAGGTAGGTGAAGTCATCAGATTAAAAAACCAACAGGTATCTGGGTGTGGTTGTGCATGCTTATAATGCCAGCACTCAGGAGGCTGAGGCAGGAAAACTGTGAATTTGAGGCCTTCCTGGGATACATAGTTAGACCCTGTCTCAAAAAACTGAAGGACAAGACAAAAAGTTTTGAGCTGACCGTGGTGGCTCTCATTGTAGTCCTAATATCAGGGAAGCTAAGGTGGGAGGATTTCTTAAACTCAGGAGTTTTGGGCCTGAGCAATATGGTGAGACTGTTTCGATAAAAACAGAAAAGTAGGGGACCGGGGATTTAGCTCAGTGGTTTCGTCGCCTGCCGTGCAAGCACAAGTTCCCAAATTTGATCCCCAGTACCAAAAAAACCCCCCAAAAAAGAAAAACAAAAATGTTTGAGGGGCGTGGTAATTCATACCTGTAATCCCAGTACTTAGGAGGCTGAGGCAGGAGGATCAACATGAGTTCAAGGCCAGCCTGGGCTACACAGTGAGTTCAAGGCCAGCCTAAACTACATAGTGAGACCCTGTCTCAAAGAAAAAAAGAAAAGTTTCAGGACCTGAGGGCATAGTTCGGTGATAGAGCACTTGCCTAGCATATTCCCTGAATTTGATACCCAGGACTGCAAAAAACATAACTAAAAACCTCCTGAGGGCACTATGGTGAGATTGAGTAAGTACACAAAGTGCAAGGCTTTGCCTCAACCCTGAGATCTCCATTGTCCTGTTTGGGCCTCAGTTTTCCCATTAGGCCCCTGGAAGGATTGGAGTTGTCAATCTGAGGGTCATAGGAAAATCCAGTCCCTCAGGAGGCCTAAAACATTTTGGGACTGTTATCAGGCTCAGAAAAAAATTTTTTCTTTAGTTAACACTGCCTATAATTTCTGAGTACGGGAACCATAAACTGATTGGGAAGAGGAGAAGACACCAGAAAGTAGGGCCAGTACCCCTCCCCGCCCAGGTCTTGCCCCAACACAGCTCAGCTCCAGCCTGCTGGGAAATTTGCCACCTGGATGAGCCCCAGCAGGTCCCTACCCCAAACACCTGCACACAGCTCCCCCCACTCACCGTCAGGGCCCAGCTCAGTCCTGACAAGGATCCAGGAGGATGGGAAGACTCAGCTCCTAGCTGCCCACATGCCCTCAGTGGAGCAACAGTTGTAACAGGGCAGAATTAGAAGGGTTATTTTCACCTTCCCTTCCTCATTTTTTAACATCTCCTTCCTCTTACCTGGCAATCTCAGTCCTAAAGAGAAGCCTAACTTGTAGCATCTAATTCTGAGGAGAGGCCTCACCTGAACAATAATGATGTCAAACCTTTCTTTGGGGCTGAGGATGGAGGGTGCTTGCCTGGCAAGTGTGAGGCCCTGGGTTCAGTCCCTGGTACCATGCCAAAAAAGAAATCCCTTGTGGTAAGGCACACTTCTTGTTGAAGTAGCCCGAAGTCTCAGCACTTCTTTCTCTCCCCACAGAAACCCTTCCAGCCCCTGAGGCAGAGTGCAGGCAGAGCTGGAAGATCCCTCACTATCAGCACTTGTCTCCTGAATACCAGCACTCTAGCACAACACCAAAAATCCCTCCCAGGCCAAAGACCTGACCACTCTAGCTGGTACTTGTGTGTAATTCACATCCATAGACACGGGGGAGTTGTTACACTTGTCATGGATGTGCTGCTGCATTCCCTCAGCCGTCACAGTCACCTGGGTAGTGCATTTGTTTGTGGTCTCTGGAGGCTGATAGAGTGGTCCATGGTGGTGGGATATGGTTCTGGGGGTCGCAGAGATGCCTACTGTGCCCTATGCCTGCACGCCCAACCGGCTGGCACACTTGGTTAGAACTTGGCTTCCTGGCCCCACCTTGAGAGTTTCTAATTCATCTGGTGTGAGGTGCATTCCTGAGGACCCAGGTGTTTTATTAGATGCGCTCCACAGACTTGTGACAAAGAGTTAAATTTCTCTGCTGACACAATCATGGCCCAGCACTTACTGGGCAGTCCTGAGAATGCTGACTAGAAACAGCACAAAATAAAAATAAATACAAAAACCATTCTTTCCTTCTAGTGAGCTAATGCTCCATCTTCCCAAAAAAGTTACAGCACACGGACATCCTTATCTAAGCCCGAAGGGCCTTTCCAGAGGCCTACGCCACAGACCTTGACGGTTTGCAGCTGTAGCGTGCAACTGTAAAAATAGTAAAGGCACTTCTAAAAGGTCAGCAGAAACAGGCGTCCTGGAAGAAACATTCCTGAGACGTCTAGATTTGGTGGGACTCTTTGCCATGTCTTCAATGTCTTGTGAAAACCCTCTCACCCTGACTGCAAGATTCCTCTCTTGGAAACTTGCTTACTGTCCCTCTTGACAGTGTAGTCTGATCTAAATAAACTCTTGCTCTCCGATGTACATTAACTGTTGGTAAATCCTTTTTTCACCTGCATCATTGGCCCTCCATTCACCGTCTGGTCCAGCAAAACTGGGTGGCTTAAACAGAAATTTATTTTCTTACAGTTCTAGATCCTTCCTCTTAACAAATTATATCTGCAGTGGCCGTATAGTGTTGTGCCAGTACTTGATAATTTGTTCTGGGAAGCGAGATGAGTACCAAAAATGACTAGGACCAAACAAACAGTTTGGCTAGAAAGGGTTATGAGTCAGGAGGAAATTGACAGAGACAAGTTCTACCTTGACATCTTCACATCGAGTACCAAATAAACGATGAGTATCAGGACAAAATTTGTGTGTCCAATACCAATCTGTCCAATACCAGCCAGGTGTGGTGACACTCACCTGTAATCCCTGCACTGGGGATGCTGAGGCAGCACTACTGCTGCAAGTTCAAGGTGAGTTCAAGGCCAGCCTGGAACACATAAGTGAGACCCTGTCTCAAAAAACAGACAAAAATTTGTCTAGTACCAAATTTGATGACTTTCAAAGCAATGAAGTACCAAGGTACGACTTTATTTTAAAAAGGGCAGGGGATTTAGCTCAGTGGTTTCGCCACCTGCTGTGCAAGCACAAGGACCCGAGTTTGATCCCCAGTACCAAAAAATAAAAATAAAATAAATAAAATAAAATAAACTCATATTCTGAATTATTGGGATTTAGGACTTCAACACATGACATTTGGGGGGGAGGGCACAATTTATCTCTAACATAATTCACCCCTATTGCTGCTTTAAAACACTAATCTGAAAAATCAAACAAAAAAACAAGCAAGCAAACAAAAATCGTGGCTAAGCCTGATGCCATGGCACACGCCTGCAATTCCAGGACTTGGGGGGCCGAGGCAGGAGGATTGCTGTGAGTTTGAGGCCAGCCTGAGCTACATAGTGAGTTCAAGGCCACCCTGAACCTGAACTACTTAGTGAGACCTTGTCTCAAAACACAAACAAACAAAGCAACAAAAAATTATGGCTAATCTGCTCTTCTTTTTTAGAACTTTTCAAGGCTCCAGATTGCTTTCAAGGTAAGTGTGAATTCTCAGCTTGGCATGGTAGCCTAAGATGGAGACCCTGACAGATGTGTTGATTTATGTCTGTAATCCCAGCTATTGAGGAAGCTGAGGTAGGAACATCACAAATTCGAGCCAGTCTCAACAATTTAATGAGACCTTGCCCCCCCCCCCCCCAAAAAAAGAGAAAGAGAGAGGCGGGGGGTGGGGGGAGCAGTAATACACTTTAT